GCATAATGCATACATAAAGTATGACGTATCGTGTGTAATAAAAGCAAATTACCCCTTAAAAACCATAAGGTGGCGCTACTCTTTTACAAAAATGTAAGCTCCGCCCCTCACTTCCGGTTCTATGGCTGCGGTTCTGAAACTGCTGGAGCTGCGGGTCTGCAGCTGGATATATCTCGGTGGATCAGGAAGCATGCTCTTACCTGTGAGGTTTGCATCTCCTCTCACAGACGCTGCGACAGCACTCATGAGGAGGAAAGCTCTCAGGACTCTCATCTGAAGGGTTCAGGAGTTTCTGCTCTTCTGCTCCTCGAGGACGAGAGTCTGACTGAAGAGAGAGAGAGAGAGAGGGGCGGAGCCTGAGAGACTCTCTGCTCCGATTGGCTGCTGGCTCTGGCACCGTTTCAAAAGGGAAAGAACAGTGGGTTAATTGGAAAGAGAAAACCTGCCACTAAAAGCGTTCTGAAGTTTTGATTGATCTCCATTAGATGAGCAAATGCTTCTCCTGCATGAGATCTCCTTCAGAAGAATAACGTCACAGTTGTTATTCTCAAGAGCTCGTTTCACTCTGATCAGGGTCTGCTGATTCATTGTTTTATTGGAAATAGATCATATCTGTCGCCTGAGATCAAGCCAGCGCTTGTTTCAAACAGCGACTTCCAGTAAATTGAAAGTGAAAGCAACACTTATTAAAGTCATCTCAAGCCGAACAAGATAGTGTACTCCTTGAAAAAGAAGCATTTTAGTAAAAATTATTTTTACTAAAAGTAACACTAACCATAACTCATACACTGCTTCAAAACTTGAAAAGGCTGAATATATATATATATATATATATGTATATATAAATATATAAATTCAGCCTATATATATATATATATATATATATATATATATATATATATATATATATATATATATATATATATATATATATATATATATATATATATATATATATATATTCAGCTGTGGCATGCTCAGATGTGCAGCATAAAGAGACGTGAACCGCCCCTAAAATGTTATTGGTCATCTGGGGTGCCATGATAAAATTCCACACTATGATTGGTCATCACCATGCCAGAGTGCCTTTCATAAAGCACAATTAGATAAAGCACATTTGTCAACAAGTCTTTCTTGGTTGTTTTTAACAAACTAGCTGTACACTGTAGAGTAGACCTATGTAATCTGGACTAGTCATGTGTCATGTTAAATGATATAGAAATAAAAAGACTAAAATAAAAATCAAAACTGAAATTAACTGGAAAACTAAAACTAACAAACAAAATCACTGACAATAAGCTACACAATAATTAAAAAGACATAAACACAAACTAAATTAAAAAGCCAAAACGATAATGACCTGTAATAACCATAACATGACATTTTCTTCAGTGTTTATGGAAATGAATGTCTTCTGTCATTCAGCCTCAGCAGACAGCAGCAGATTTGTCCAGACATGAACACAACCTACACATGCAAACATCTGATGCTTGTTTGTAAGCAAGACAAATCTGCCGCAACAGTTCAGTTTATTTCAGCAAAAAACACAAATATACAGTTTAAGTCGCAGGATTTCATCATTACAAAAGATCTATTTTTTACGAAAGACTTTCAAAAACAAGCCTGATCTACAAACACATAACCATAAATATTACAAACAATATATGAATGACAACAAGGTGAAATAAAACTTAAATTTAACATGAAAACTCAACAATGGTGATCTAGTGGAAAATCTTTCACAGACAAACGCTAATCTTTGCAGTGAACCATTACATCAAGGCTTGTGACATGATGGTCGTGCTCAGACAAGCATGTTTGTCAGGTGTGCTTTTGTGTGGTGAATCTTGCTTTTATCTGAACAGAGTTCCTGACAGGATCCTGACACGTTTCCATTCATTAAAAGGTATAAAAGCCATTGAATCGAGTGTTCTGGGTTCAGTATAATATAATATTAACCATCAGCAAAATACAATCAAATATTATGTGCAGTGGGGGATTATGGGAAAGATGGGTTTACAGATGTGAAGCTTGTATTTAGTTAAAGCACTTACATGAATCAATCAGTGCAAACCTGTTCATTGTCTGAGCTGTGAAGGTGGATGGAGGTCTGCTGGTGTCACTGATGAGTTTACACATGTAAACAGCGTGTGAAAATGAGTTTACCGGCTTTACTTCATGACAGGAATTCTACTGATCTCGGGTTTCTAGCTCATGTTGATCATCTCGTATTTGTCCTTCAGGCTGCTGTCCTCGTCTTCGTCCTCATCCTCCTCTTCCTCGGGTTCTTCGTGAGGTCTGTCGTTGTGGTTGGTGTGATGAAGCTCGATCAACAGGAAGTAGATCACAGCACCGGCGATGCCCCCTACCAACGGCCCGGCGACAGGAATCCACCACCAGTAATCTGCAGTGCTGTGCACACACCAAATTATCACAATATATCACCAAGTCATCATAATATATTATCAAATCATCACAATATATAACAGAATTATTATATCACCAAAACATCATAATATATCACTGAACCATTATATCACCAAATCATCATAATATAACACAGAATCATTATATATCTCCAAATCATCATAAAATATCACATAGTGATTATATCACAAAATCATCATAATATGTCACCAAATTGTCATAACATACCACTGAATTATCAACAGCATAATGTATCACTCAATAATAGTAGTATCACAGAATAATCATAATATATCACTTAATCATAATGTATCACCAAATCATCACAATATATCACCAAATTATCATACTATATAGCTAAGTCATCATAATAGGTTTTAAGATGGTTTAGATCCTACCTGTCCAACTGTTACCACTTTGTCTATTAAAACGGAGAACCACCTCAGTTAATGTCAGTAAAGTATGGAGTGCCGCAAGGATCTGTCTTAGGCCCTCTGCTATTTTCAATATACATGCTGCCCCTTGGTAATACTAGAAAAGATGGGATTAGTTTCCATTGTTATGCTGATGATATATTAACTATATATTTCAACAAGACCAGATGAATCATCTAAATTATCTAAGCTAACTAAATTATCTAAGCTAAATTTGGATAAGACATTATTACTTATTGGACAAAAAAACAGTACACAGAATATCTTAGATTACAATTGGCATTGAGACGGATGTACTGTTACTTCCTCTACAGTCAGTTATATTAGACAGCAACTTGTCTTTTGAAAATCATATTTCCCATGTTACAAAAACAGCATTCTTCCATCTTAGAAACATTGCCAAGTTACGAAACATGTTACCTGTTTCTGATGCAGAAAAGCTAGTTCATGCATTCATGACCTCTAGACTGGACTATTGTAATGCACTGCTAACTGGTTGTCCTGCATCTTCAATAAACAAGCAACAGGTAGTCCAAAATGCAGCGGCTAGAGTCCTTACCAGGTCAAGAAAATATGATCATATTACCCCAATTTTACAGTCTCTGCACTGGCTACCTATTAAATGCCGTATCAGTTACAAAATATTATTACTTGCTTATAAGGCCCTTAATGGGTTAGCTCCTGCGTACCTAACTAGTCTTCTACCACGCTACAATCCATCACGCTCCCTAAGGTCGCAAAACTCTGGACTTTTGGTAGTACCTAGGATAGCAAAGTCCACTAAAGGAGGTAGAGCTTTTTCACATTTGGCTCCCAAACTCTGGAATAGCCTTCCTGATAACGTTCGGGGTTCAGACATACTCTCTGTTTAAATCTAGATTAAAGACACATTTCTCTAGTTTCAAGTTTCAATTTATTTATATAGCACATATAAAACAGCCACACGACTGACCGAAGTGCTGTACAGAGATTCAAAACTATTAAAAGAATATAAAAATCAGCACAACTACACAATTCAAACAGGGTCTCGCCCTAATAATAAAAAAAGTAAATATAATAATAACACAAGATAAACAAAGTATAAACCCTTAGAAGACTAAGCAAAGACCATAATAGAAAATTATTTATAAGCCAAAGAAAACAGATATGTTTTTAGGAGAGATTTAAAAGTGGACAGAGAAGGGGCAAGTCTAATCTCTAAAGGGAGGTTATTCCACAACCGGCCCAACCACCGAGAAAGCTCGATCCCCTCTACGTTTGAGTCTGGATTGTGGGACTAGAAGAAGATTCTGATCACTGGATCTTAGCTGGAAGGGAGTATATGGATATAGCAATTCAGATAAATAGATAGGGGCTAGATCATGTAAAGATTTATATACAAAAAAAAGGATTTTAAAATCAATTCCGAATTTAATAGGCAGCCAATGAAGGGTCCGCAAGATTGGAGTAATGTGAGCGCTTTTGCGGCTATTATGAAGGAAGGCGATCAATTAAAGACTTAGAACTACCACAGTATAGTAAATCGCAGTAGTCTAAGCATGAGGTGATAAAAGCATGAACAGCCATCTCTAAAGTTTTATGATTTAAGAAAGGTTTGATTTTTGATAACCGGCGAAGTTGATAAAAACTAGAACCTATTACAGAGGAGATATGTTTGTTAAGGTTTAAGGACTCGTCTAACAAAACGCCCAGGTTCCGTACACGTGCAGATCTAAACACTGATAAACTACCCAGATATAGTTGCCTGAGAATTGTCAGAGGGCCCGAAAACAATCACCTCAGTCTTATTTTCATTTAAGGATAAAAAATTTTGGACTAGCCAGAATTTTACTTCATATAAGCATTTTAGTAAAGAAGGAAATGCAGAGGGATCATTTCTCTTGATAGGTAGGTAAATTTGGGTATCGTCGGCGTAAAAATGAAAAGACACCCCATGTCTTCTTAGAATGGTTCCCAGAGGTAGCATGTACAGAGAGAAAAGAGAGGGCGCCAAGATAGAGCCTTGAGGAAGACCGCAGGTTAGATGAGCAACATAAGAAGAAAAGTTACCTAACTTAACTAAGAATTTTTCTGTCCATAAGGTATGACTGAAACCACTTAAGGACGGTTAACAGGCGAAGTTGATAAAAACTAGAACCTATTACAGAGGAGATATGTTTATCAAGGTTTAAGGACTCATCTAACAAAACTCCCAGGTTCCGTACACGTGAAGATCTAAACACTGATAAACTACCCAGATATAGTTGCCTGAGAATTGTCAGAGGGCCCGAAAACAATCACCTCAGTCTTATTTTCATTTAAGGATAAAAAATTTTGGACTAGCCAGAATTTTACTTCATATAAGCATTTTAGTAAAGAAGGAAATGCAGAGGGATCATTTCTCTTGATAGGTAGGTAAATTTGGGTATCGTCGGCGTAAAAATGAAAAGACACCCCATGTCTTCTTAGAATGGTTCCCAGAGGAAGCATATACAGGGAGAAAAGAGAGGGCGCCAAAATAGAGCCTTGAGGAAGACCGCTGGTTAAATGAGCAACAGAAGAAGAAAAGTTACCTAACTTGACTAAGAATTTTCTGTCAGTGAGGTATGACTGAAACCACTTAAGGACGGTTCCTTTTATCCCCACATAAGACTCTAATCTAGATATCAAATTAGAGTGGCCAACAGTGTCAAATACTGCTGATAATAAAAAAGAATGACCACAGAGTCGCCAAAGTCTGTAGATAAAAAAATGTCATTTAGCACTCTCAAGAGGGCAGATTCGGTGCTATGTGCAGACTTAAAGCCAGATTGAAAAATTTCAGAAATACCGTTGCAACTGAGAAAATACTGGAGTTGATCAAACACAATTTTTTCCAATACCTTTGAGATAAATGGTAATACAGAAATAGGATGAAAGTTATTCAGAACAGAAGAATCCAGTGAATGCTTCTTGAGTATAGGAGTGACAGTAGCCACTTTAAAGGCAGCAGGGACAGAGCCAGTACAAAGACACTTATTAAAAAGAGACACCAATCCTGGCCAACAGAATCAACAATTCATTTAAAAAATGTAGGGTGTATGATATCAAAAGAACAAAAAGATAATTTGATATTAACAATGGTATATTTAAGTAGTTGCAGAGAAATAGGTTCAAAAACATCACAGGAAGCAAAATGCAACGACGTGATAGAGGGTTCAGTATGAGAAGGGCTTATGTTGGGTCTCAAATGAGAGATTTTATCAATGAAAAATCTCAAGAAGCTTTCACATAGAGCCTCAAAAGCAGTAGACATTGTATTAACCGGGGGATTCACAACAGCATTAATAACTGAATATAAAACCTTAGGTCTAGAGTAGGGATGTAACGATTCACTCAACTCACGATTCGATTCACGATTTTGATTTCACGATTTTTTTTTTTTTTTACAAAATACAATTTTTAAGACAAATTATAACTTAAATGTGTACTTTTATTATTGCTTGGACAAAATGCTGCACATTTCTTTGTGAAATTGAAATATAACCCTATAATAATATACTAATATAGCACTTGTATATTATTGCTCTTTTGTTGGTTTTGATTGCTTCTATTTTCCTCATTTGTAAGTCGCTTTGGATAAAAGCATCTGCTAAATGACAATATTTAAATATAATATAAATGTAAATAACAAAACTAAATTGAAATTTAAAAAAAAAAAAAAATCAAATAAATAAGTAACACAAATAAAATAAATCTCTTCATATAAACAAAATAAGGCTTTGTCTGTGCTCTTTCCATTTAAAATTAGAGGCAACCACTGCATTTTAATCATGATCCAAACAAAGATGCTGCATACATGCAACATGAGCAGTTTTTAATCTAAATTAGATTGCATAATTTCGAAATTTGAAGCAAAAACAGAATGGTTTGACTTCAGTTTTGTGAAACTATACATAAAAAATATCTGCATGAAACAGAAACAGCAGACGAGCTGAATGAGACGCAGATTCACTCTCTGCCAGCAGGTGGCGCTTAAAGCGTTTTCATTGCCGATTTTGAAAGCGATTTTGTGTTGCTTGTCAGTGATCTATGGCTCTGTGTAGTAAATGCCGCTCCATCTGAAAGCACGTGCTGGAGATTTACTACTAATCACCAGAAGCGGCTTTACTGATGAGATGCGCATGAAAATCACATTCGATTTTTTGCACAGCCCTACTAGACAGCATGTAATGCAAAGTATTGTCAACCCTCAACACACTCGCACCTGAACACCTGATCACACTCATACCTGATCACACTCATACATAAACACTCGCTCCGGAACTCCTGATCACACTCGCACCTGAACACCTGATCACACTCGTACCTGAACACACTCGCACCTGAACTCCTGATCACACTCGTACCTGAACACACTCGATCTGGAACTCCTGATCACACTCGCACCTGAACACCTGATCACACTCATACCTGATCCCACTCGCACCTGAACTCCTGATCACACTCGTACTAGATCACACTCACACCACACTCGTACCTGATCACACTTGTATTTGATCACACTCACACCTGATCACACTCGTACCTGATCACACTGGTACTTTATCACACTAACACCTGATTATACTCGAACCTGAACACACTCACACCTGATCATACTCGTACTTGATCACACTCACACCTGAACACCTGATCACACTTGTACCTGATCACACTCGCACCTGGTCACACTCATACTTGATCACACTTGTACCTGATCACACTTGTACCTGAACACCTAATCACACTCACACCTGAACAGCTAATCACACTCACACCTGAACACCTGATCACACTTGTACCTGATCACATTCGCACCTGATCACACTCGCACCTGATCACACTCGTACCTGATCACACTTGTACCTGATCACACTCGTACCTGAACATACTCGCACCTGATCACCTAATCACACTCACACCTGAACACCTAATCACACTCACACCTGAACACCTGATCACACTTGTACCTGATCACACTCACACCTCATCACACACACACGTACCTGATCACACTCGTACCTGATCACACTCGTATTTGATCACACTCGTACCTGATCACGCTCGTACTTGATCACACTCACACCTGATCACACTCGTACCTGAACACACTCGTACCTGATCACATTCGTACCTGAACACACTCACACCTGATCACACTCTCACCTGATCACACTCACACCTGAACACCTAATCACACTCACACCTGAACACCTGATCACACTTGTACTTGATCACACTTGCACCTGATCACACTCGTACTTGATCACACTCGTACCTGAACACCTAATCACACTCACACCTGAACACCTAATCACACTCACACCAGAACACCTGATCACACTTGTACTTGATTACACTTGTATCTGAACACACTCGCACCTGATCACACTCACACCTGAACACACTCGTGCCTGAACACGTGATTACACTCGCACCTGAACACCTGATCACTCATACCTGAACACCTCCATGCCCCATCCGGCGGCGGCGGTGAAGAGGCGAGGGCCCAGGTCTCTGGCGGGGTTCAGAGGGTAACCGCAGTTCAGTCCCATAGAGACGCTGATGCCCAGCAGGATCAGACACACAGCCAGTGGCTCCACGCCTCGAGGAGGACCGATGTTCCTGCCGTCCACAACCGCTAGAATACACATCCCCACCACCTGATAGACAGATGGAGATCGGTTATTCAGCGGTCACTAACCTAACCTAGTCTCAGCCTCAGACGTCATGCCCACGAACCGCTGGCTGAACATCTGATGCATATGGCACACAAAAGTGGAAACACTTCAGGAGTTTCGAAGTCATCATCGGATTGGTTCGATTATACAGGATTTCCGGGAGATGTGTGTCTTGCGTTCTTTAACGTTCTGCCTGGAAACAAAAATGCTGTGACACCAAACTCCCTCACGAAAGAAGAAAGCCGTCGTGTTTACAACTGTGACGACAAGTGCTTATCAGGATCAACTAAACGCTGGATTTTCAAAAGTATGTGAAATATTTAAAGTTCACGGCACAGAATCTTTAAAATACATCCGAGAGTTTTACACACCGATCTGTTATTGTGAACGAAACAAACTGTGATTGGTTGTTTGACATGTCGGTCAAACGGCCTCATGGGTGGGCTTTGGCCAATGAAAGCTGCCATGGATTCCAGACCTTTAGCCGTCAGTCTGAAGGTCTCGCTACGTGAGACTAAACCTAACCTAACCCAAACCCGAACTTCAGCTGAGCTTGTCATTCCTCTAAACTCCTGGGAAATTTAGGAAATAATTGAAAGTAGAATGTTGTACTGATGGTTTTTGATTCAGATCCACCATGCACATGCAAAATATTTAGACCTAAATTTAAGATGTTTGTGAATTGTATATAAAATTTCCATGCAACATAAACACACTAATAAACTTAATATATGATGCATATTTGTCAGACATACATCAATGAATCAGGTCAGATTTCTGCACTCAAAAAATCATGGTACAGTTCATTATAATAATACCAGCATGGCGCCGCAAATGGCAGCAAGGACGCTGAGCTCCGCGATTCTTCTATTGTTTTTGTTTGTTTGTTCTGTGTTTTGTCATTCTTCTTCTATAAGTTTTACCAGAGACAAACTCCTTAACATTAAGCAGCACATCCCAGACAACATTTTTCCGGTTTTTGATTATTCAGACGTTTTGTTGGACATTCTAGTCGGAGGTACAGCTGTGTTGTTCAAACGCGCGTGCAGACGCAGAAGAGGGAAACGCGCCCAGGCTATATTCAGCCTGAACAATTAATCTTTCATAATTATACATCGTCCATTTATATTAAACTGCACACTTTGTAAATAACATATCTGCACACTAATAAACATATCTGTACATTTATCTAAACAATTCATTTTTTTCCTATACTTCTATTTCTGTATATAGTACATTATTACATTTTTCTAATTTTTCTTTTTTTATTATATTAGTGTTATATTACATCCTTACTGTGTTATTCTTATGTATGTCTGCACTATCATGTATGTCTGCACTATGTTTGTACTTTCTTCTACACTGGAAGCTCCTGTCGTCAAGTCAAATTCCTTGTGTGTGTAAACATACTTGGTAATAAAGCTCTTCTGATTCTGATTCTGATTCTGATTATTAACTATTTTAATTGATTAGCAAGCCTTTGTTGGCGATTTTTTTTGTATACATTTAGTAAATATATATATTTAATTTATGTATGCTTCACATTAAGATGTCAGTTTGTTTATGTTAAAACTGTATAATTCAAATTTTATATGCAATTCAAATACATTAATCTTAAATTTAGGCTTAAATTGTTTGTTGAGCAATTCAAAGCATGACATGTTTATTTGGGACAGAAGGAGCTGAATTAGGTCACGGGTTCACACTGAATTGGTGTTTCTGCGTGGAAATGTTCAGCCGATCGATGTGCATTAGTCAAACGGCATCAGTCTGCGGTTGTGAAACACGGACTGAATGTGTGTTTTCAGTTCAGTGATGCACAGACAGACTGACCTGATCCACGAAACCACCCAGCACTGTCAGGTGTCTGCCTGGGTATGAGGCAAAGATGTGTCCTGTGGCGTTAATTCCTGTGACTGACAGAATCCCGCTGGTGAAGTCCATGAAGGCATCTGAACACACACACGCACACACGCATTAATCACATGCATCAAACATGTGGGAAACCTCTGGATTCTTCAAACTCACCGTAATACAATCCAAAGACTGCAGCCGCACCCACAAACGCGCCCAACATCTGCGCCGTCACGTAGATGGGAAACTTCCAGATCTTCAGCTTCCCCAGGATGACCATGGCCAGAGACACGGCGGGGTTCAGGTGACCGCCTGCGGACAGATATTTCCGGTCTAAATATATTTTAAGTATATGCTAAATATACACTGTAAACCAGGGGTGCCCACACTGGGTCCTGGAGGGCCGGTGTCCTGCAGAGTTTCGCTCCAACCCAATCAAACACACCTGAAGCAGCTAATCAAGCTCTTACGAGGCATACTAGAAACCTCTCAGCAGGTGTGTCAAGGCAAGCTGGAGCTAAACTCTGCAGGACACTGGCCCTCCAGGACCGAGTTTGGTGACCCTGTTTAAACAGTGAAGCTCAATGAAACAGTATATTTTTGAAATCGAAAACATTTAGTTTCAACCGTCATATACCAAAATATATTTCAAAATGTATTTCAGTGGCGAGAAAACACATTTCCAGTCTTATAGACATTAAAGTTTTTCTTCAAATGTGACATAGTCAAGTCAAGTCATCTTTATTTATATAGCACTTTTAACATACAGATTGTATCAAAGCACCTTTAACAGTATTAAACAGGAAAATAGTGTGTCGGTAATGCAAAAGGATAATAATAAACACTCAAAGGGTTATTTTATTATCACTGAGATACCATTATAGTTTTTGTTAATATTTTTAATTATAAATTTCATGATGATTTTAAAGTTTAATGATCGTTTTGTGTTATTTTTAGTTCAATTTGTTTTTATTTTTAGTACTTCAAGTTAAATTAAATGAAAATGAGAAATGCTGCCTTGAAACTAGCTGAAAGAAATAGTTTTTTTTTTTTTTCATTTTATTTTATTTCAGTTAACATTCAAGTAACAATTATTTATGAAAATTTTTTTTTTTTTTTTCAAATACATTTTTAAACACATTTTAAAATATTCACCCACACTGTCACTTACATGCACACAAACGCACACACACACACACACACACACACACACACACACACACACACACACACACACACACACACACACT